CCCCAGCACATGGAGACACCCCCGACGATGGTCCCCGACCAGCAGGCACCCGCCTCCGGCCATCACTATCACCACCATCACCACCATCATCATCATCATCATCGACATCATCGTAGTACGTCATCCACCACGCCTAGCCATGGACCGGCGACCGACACCTCGGACGAGTTCGCACCGGTTTCCAGAAAACGGAAACTTTCTTGCCAGTAAGTTTAACTCGTAATTTGCCTAAGAACCTTGAGGGTTCATGTCTCCAAGGGATTAACGGTTGATTTCCACCAGTTCCTCTCAAACCAGATAATGCTAATTGAACTTGCGATGATTCGTTAAATACCGTTTTATCAAGATTCGTCAATACCAACAATGTGATATAAATTAACAATAAATTTAGGCATTTAAATTAAAAAGTACTATATTCCATTCTTATCCTACCTAATTATATATATGCTTCTTCTATATTATCGTCACTCGATTTCGTTAAACCTGATCTACATCCTCCCTATTTTTTTTAGATTTTCTTTTCTCAGAAATCCAAATCCTCTTTCCTCTGTTTCTATCAACTTCTAACTTTCATTTATAAGAATTTATCCGTGAAATATAGGTATAAAATTAGAAATTGATAGAAGTAGAAGGAAGAGGATTCGGATTTTTTAGGAAAAAAATCTAAAAGAAGTAAGGAGGAAGTGTGTAACTAGATAAGATAAGAATAGAATAAGTAGAGTAAAAATAAAAAAGAAAAGTATAAAATGTGTAGATTTATTGTACATAGAGACAGATTAGATAGAAATAACGAGAAAATATTGTATGCACATCGAAATTAATATGTTAGGAATTAGATAAAAATAGCCAGCATAAAGGATAGGTGAATTGTGAAGATAAGATGAAAAAGTATGTACCAAGTCCTCTTCTTGGCTTGTGCTGAAAGATTCTTCTTCTATAACTTATTTAAATTAAATATGAATGAATATGAATGTGTTTCTCAGAATTCCTAGAAGAGATCATCAATTTAACGTTCACGAAAGTAGAAACCAGAAATCGACAGTGAATGTTTTTCAGCACATCTTAAATGAACGAATAAGGAGAAGCGCTAGAAATGATGCTCTTATTGAAAATTTTTGCGCGAGATCTCACGCCACGTGGAGCAACGTTCTTTTGTCTGTCGTGCAGTGCTCGCAGGCGAACACACGGCACCTAAGAATCGGCCGTGGTAACAACCACTCCGGAGCACAAAGCTCCGTGTGGCACGTAGGTGGAAGTCGTATCGCGGAATATTACACATTAGCATGAAGCGCGAAACGAAGCCCGCCAAATGTGCCCCGCCAAGAGTCTGGAGTCTCGCGAGCTGCGGCAAACAACCCGCGATAACTAGCGACTCACTTCCCCGGTCCTGTCGCCGTTCCCTTCATCCGAGTTCCCGATACTCATCGATGCCGATGTTTCGAGATGTTTCGCACCCGGTAGTTCCAAGTAATTACCCAATCAAGGTGTCGGATACGCGGTCAAAGGGTTAACTTAATCGTCGACGGAACGGAAGATTTGCCTACCTCTCTCTGGAGATCCCGAAATTGCCCTCGACAATTACCTTCATCGCTTGCTTCGCAAGGGATGTTCGCGCGAGATACACGCAGCTGATGCTAGATATCCTTAAATAAGAAATTGGACACCACATACGTTTGCATTGTTAAATCTATAGTGTCAAATTTAAGTCGCCTAATTTGAGTCGCCATTTACTGCTCCTCAATTATTTTATACTAAAACAATGGAGTTAAACAGTTTAAATTAGGTTTAATTTGACACTATATACCCAGATAGCAAAATGTCTAGTAGTCTTCTAGCAGAAAATGACGGCAGTCTGCCATCAACTACGTCCGCATTAGGCTTGTGTTCTGTTAATCGCTATCGACATAATGTGAGAGCAAATTATTGGCAGAAACTGAGCAGATCCTACCAACATTTATCTATTATGTTTTTTTCTAGTAGTCTGTCAACAGTATTATGTACATCTAATTCTGTAACAATTCTGTTGCTATTTTGTTGGCATAGTGTGTAGCAGACATTTAAAAAAATCTGCTTTCTACAGACTTGGCTATCTGGATAGTGATAACAAGTTACATTTTAAAATCAGTAACGAATTACTTTTTAGAGAAAAGAATGGCAACAGTAACGAATTACGTTTATAAAGTAACTTTTCTAATTCTGAATTTCCACTTCATGAATTTGTATCTCGTTTGTGTCATCCGTGTGTCAGGGTCCGCTGAATTAATTTTTTGCCTCGTCTGGAATTGAGCCGGACGTAACGCACGTGATTCGAAATGTCAACAATATAATTCTATGAATATATGAAATCGTTATACAATGATAATACTCATATCTGAGAATTTGATCGTTGATGGCCTTAAGCAAAATTGAAATGCATGCGTGCATTTTTATTCTGATAAATATTTACGCGTGTCTCGTTTCCGAGGTGAGTCTTTCACGACGAAGGAATCGTATCGACAAATATTTCCTCGCGAGGGAAACCCACGTGCGACTTTTCGAGCTCGAGACACAAAGGACGAGGGAGAGGAAGCTCTACGCGAGCGAAACTTGGTGAAATTTGCCGTCAAAGGGGTAACACCCTCTACGAAGGTAGTAATATGCTGAAGAAATTGTTTTCCTGTGATGTTTCAACCGAATTTAGTCGCCGCGAAGGGACTTCGCCAATTACATACTTAGATTACCACATTGCGCGTTTAATCGGCAAAATTGTATCTTACAAGAGAGAACGGTGTCATTAAAAATTCTTTAGTTAATCGATCGTTATTCGCGTGAGATATTTGACATTTTTAGTATTATATTTCAATTTTTATTACTATCTTTGATGATTTTTAATTAAATAAAAATTGATAATACTTTAGATATCCTTTAAATAAAGATCAATACGAAAAAAAATTTTTTTAATTGTGAAACAATCCAGTAAACAAGCTGACGTTATTTGTCGTCATGTTGACGACAAGTAACGTCAGCTTGTTTTACTGGAAATTTGTACTGAATACAATAATGTGTATAAATACAGCATTCATATATTTAGCAAATTTACAAGGCTAGGGAATCCTGGATTCATCCCACGTGAATAATGAAAGATTAATATAAAAATAATAATATTAAAAAATAATTCCTTGTAATATTAATTTAGTTACCTATTTATGTATGTATTAATTTTTTTATTTTCATACTTAATATCTCTAAACTTGCTAAACATCTCTTTGAAAAAATGCTCCACTGTTGTTTGTTTCAGTGTTGGAAGCGATCTCTTGGACGACCTGGGAGACGACGCCAAATCAGTTCGCACAAACGACGACAGTAAGAAGTAAGTACATTGTAAAGTATAAGAAAAAAATGTATTGTTCGGAAAGATTGGGATTCCCGAGCACGCGATGCAATCGATTCGAACTTGTAACGCAATCGTCGATTACGGTGATTATGTATTATTATGTCAGATATTGCCAAGGTGAGTGCTACCTTGACCTACCTTGATTCTTTGCTCCGGCTTCATCAGCGACGTCACTAAATCCGATCATCATGTATTATCAGTCACTGATGCGAGTTGTTTCGCAAAAGCAGTCGTTCGATCGCGAAGCGTCACACTTTTATCGCTCGTCTATTATGCATTAACAATGGAATAATTTCTAAACTAAAGAATTTGTAAACATTTAAAAGAATATTAATATTTAAAAAAATTTCATAAAGCACTAAGAAATACTCTGAATCTTCGAATACCTTGTCTAAACATCTCTCATCTTTTAGAAATATAATGTTTATATGATTTGGAATGTAAATTATATCATAATATATGTATTTGTGTAATAAATATTGCATTGTATTATATCGCTCATATAACAATGACGTAACTGAAAAATTGTCATTTTTTTTGTAAAAAAGAATATAAAAGGAAGAAACATTCTTTAAAAGAACATACTTTTATTCTTCTACAACCAGTTATATTATTAAAATTATATTTTAAAATTAATATTACAAAATGCTAACAATTCAAAATTTGATATTCAAATATATTTCTTGGACAATTTTGGTCTTTCGTATTGTATCGTTATAGCAAATGAGCGATATACATATATGTGTATTTGAACACATATAGATTGATATCCGGTGGAAACTCCAACACGGAAAGAACTGTTTTGCTGAAGTATTTAAAAATTTAGCTAAATACAGATCTGAAAATAATTTCGTTGGATCATCAAAATAATTAATGCAGGACGCTTAAATGATTGCTATAATGTCAAAACATTTTATAGCATTGCTCATCATGCTTGAGATTCCTACACTGCTTCCTACTGATTCCTATTAAAAATGTCTTGTTAATTGGAATTCGTAGATTTAACCAAAGAGTTACAGTCGATATAGCTAAAGCTATCAAATAGTCTAGTCGAGATTACCAGACATTCAATTACGATATAATTCAGAATTTTGATTCATACGCGACCAGAATTCGTTTTATCTATAATTCTTGTTTGTACAATCAGAATCTTTTTTTCAGAACACGTAATTATTTTAATGTTCAATAAAATTATTTTCAGATCTGTATCTATAAAGAAATTGTTAGCTACTTCACAAAACCGTTCTTTTCATGAAGGCACTTGTTTAACGTACGTTCTATAAACTCACTGAGGCCAGATATAAAAGTCTAACGGATATTACGATAACTATTACGATATGTCCACTTGAATCGAGACATAATTATGCGATATAATAGTCCGAGTCCGGCATAGAGTTGAGACCAGTTTTCTCCGCCGTACCGCAACGATTTCCGCCGTGCAATTTATCTCTCCCCGGGCGCGATATGAATGCAAATTCTTGAGAGACAAATCAGCATGCGCTCTAAAAAGACGTCGTTACGAATCGAATCGCCCTTTTCCTCTTATGTATAATTGACGCGCGGCCTCGTCGGGCACCGATCTCATTGCCGCATAATTCGCGCGACTGCACGAGTACGTTGAGCTTTCTGGAGAAGTCAGCTTTAACCCTCCGAAGCTGACATTAAAATCTGCAGCACAGTTACTGATATCTGTAAGATCTATGTTGATTAAAAGACACTAATTGTTTTCAAGGAATCAAAATGACGTAACTTATGTAAAAAAGAATAAAAAAATACTTATAAATTTATTTTAATTACAATAGTTCAAATTTGCAGATATAATATAAGGAATATATGTATAATAATTGAAAATATATAATTGAAAGAATATAATTGAAGAATATATTATAATCGAGTGAATTAGATAAATCCACTGTCAATTCCAGAGGGTTAAAGACCAACGCGCGTGGCTCCGGTCCACGTGGATGAAACCTTCGCAGAAAAATCTGCTGTGGTCAGCAGAGTATTTTACAACAGCTATATTACATTCTTCATTACTTCTGTAACTCTGCACATTCCATTCTTTGTTTCCGTTTCTTGTTTACATGAAACGGACGGCGGAATTCCGCTCACGCGATTAACGCAACAAGCATCCACGTGGACATTTAATCCCTTATTTAAAAAAGAAAAAAAAATTTGTGTGAAATATGAGAGAAAATAATAATTTGAAATATCGGGATATGTTATTTAATCTGTCTTTCAGAAAAATGTAAAAATATCGAATTTTTGTAACAGCCTTGTATAATTCGTGTTCATGTCACCAGGAAATGTACTAATGAAATGTCCAATTTGAATTCCCTGTTTTATGCAATTAAAATTGTCACGTTGGACCATGTGATTATAGGCGGTTATTTTAAGATCATTTTTAATTCCAACGTTGATTAGCAATAAAATATAGATACAATATCAGCTACATGTTTCTTATACACAACCGTATCTAGAGATGTGAACTAGATTATAAATATTATATCGTAATTTTTGAAATCTCCGGAACTTTACGAGTTGTCCTTATTTGGATACCTGATGGTATCAAATACATATATAATACACTGTACCCATACAGCACAGAAACATTTCAGAAAGATCTCCGAAATGTTTCAACTGAAAAAGTGAAATATTTCAGAAATGTTGCGAAATATTTCTGCAAGATCTCTGAAAGATCTCTGAAAGGTCAAAATGTCCGCGATTCTTCCACATGAAATCTTCCAGAAATATGTCTGAAAGGTCTGAAATATATCTGCAACCTTTCTGCAATATATGCGAAATGGTTTCAAATGTATTTCAGAAAGATTTTAGAAATACATTTGAAACCATTTCGCATATATTGCAGAAAGGTTGCAGATATATTTCAGACCTTTCAGACATATTTCTGGAAGATTTCATGTGGAAGAATCGCGGACATTTTGACCTTTCAGAGATCTTTCAGAGATCTTGCAGAAATATTTCGCAACATTTCTGAAATATTTCACTTTTTCAGTTGAAACATTTCGGAGATCTTTCTGAAATGTTTCTGTGCTGTATGGG